TTTGCTGAGAGAGCATGCCTCCTAGTGGCACAGAAGCTACACCCGCAGTCTCACCATCGTGACCACGCAGACATGAGCTGACCAAGAAGGGCTGACAACCATGCCAAACTGGATGGGGGATCCCACAAGCCCTCAGCCCTGCACAGAGAACTAAAGGCCACCGAGGAGAGGTGGGAGCAGGAGAGGTGGTCTTCCCAGAGGAGAGTGCACTAATGGCTGTCCAGTGCCAAGTGCTCAGGCTTGGAAACACACGTACAAATAACATTATATGGACTCAACAGGTTGTAATTGGGATTATGTGTGTGTGTTTGTGTGTGTGTGTGTGTGTGTGTGTGTGTGTGTGTGTGTAATAACAGTTTATTAAACAAGAGGGCATGAATTTAAAGAAGGAAGGAGTACATAGGGGTTTGGAGGGAAGAAAGGGATGGGAGAAATGTAATTAAATTTCAATATCAAAACACACTCAAGCACACACATACACACACAAACAGACACACACATACATACACACATACACACACATACATACACACAAACACACACAAAGACCTCCACATAAAACCAAAACCAGAACCAAAATACAGGTCCAATACAAATATAAAATATAGGTGTGCATGAATGCACACATGTACACACACAGTGTAATTTATAAGCAAAAAATGCAAGTCCTGATTTTATTATTGTCATCAACAGGTTCAATGGCTACGTAATTTTTTTAAAATATAAAACAAAATCACTAAGTCAGACCAGAGACGACCGAGCAGGTAAATTATTGCTGCCAAGTTTGGCAATGAGAGTTTGTTTTCCAGAACCGACATGGTGGAAGTTGTGCTTTGACCTCCACAAGCACGCTCTCGCATGAGCACACCCACCCACACCTACACACACACATGTAGATAAATTAAAAGACCAGAAAGGAAGCCAGACAAACACAGCAAGAGAAAAGGCCTGAGGAACTTCACAGTGCTCACTCTCGGCTTCCGTATTTACTCTGGAAGACTGTGGCGGATTGTGGCTGCCTGGCACAGACCATGGGTACAGAGAGAGTCTTATGCAGCAAATAACCCCTTCCCAGCTGGCTCTGCTCCCCGGGGACTCTACACTACTTGTCTGCTACAATCATCCCATTGCTTTGACATGGCCTCTGCCGTGACCCTCCCACAGTATTATCACAGAACACTGACTGGAGTGTTCTGTGAGCCTGAATCATCTCAGTCAGAAGTCCTGACACTGTTCTTGATGTAGAACTCAGGGAACTGCAATAGAGGTGTCTGAAATGTTGGATCATCGGGCCATCTGTTTTCATTGGGAATTTTTCAGGGGGTCTTTCTTGATCAAACCTTATTTTCCTTAGCCCAGAATGAATCCACAGCCTCTCATTTCCTGTGGAAACAAAAACAAAATCTCTTCTCCAAAATAACATATCTTTGGATTTAAATTTTGAAGTCAAGAAATTTTCAAAATATATATGTCTTTTAGCAGGTGTTGCTCCTTCCTCAGCAACCAAGCAATTCAAAGACAACACAATAACATACAGTATCCATATTCTCTGTCTATTTTCTATCTTTATGTGACTTTAATTTTTATTTTTTAACTCTATTTCTTTTATTTTTAACTTTTGTTTTTTGAGACAGGTCCTCAGTGTATCTTTGGTTGTCCTGGAACTCGCTCTGTAGACCTAGACCATGCTGTCCTTGAACTCACAGAAATCCACCTGCCTCTGCCTCCCAAGTGCTGGGATTAGAGGCATAAGCCATCACACCCTACCTCTTGGGAAATGTTCTCTAGACTGTTTCCTGTTGTCTGGGGGCAATGGCATCTCCAGAGGACCCTGAGAAACTTGAGACAATGGTCAAGTCCTAAGAAAACTAGTTGTAGCATTTGTTGTCCAGTCTCAGAACTGTTCCCATGCACATGGGTCAGCATACAGGTCACCTGACCTGTGGTCTTTCCTGGATTCCTCTGTAAAATCTTCTGTAAAATCAGAAGATCCTCAGGAGGTCTTCTGGTCAAATCTGATCTTTTCATTTTGAAGGAATCCATAGCTTTTTGTTTCCTGTAGGAACAAAAGCACAACCTTTCCCCCAATGCAATACATTTTCCCACTTCCACTCTGAAGACAAGACATCCCTAAAGTATATAGGGTGGTTTAATTCAGCAGTTCCTTTATTATCCAATGTCCCTCAGCAGCTGCTGTTCATTCATTGAAGACTACTTTAACCAGATTTTTCTTTATTATCCTTACCAGTTTATAATAACTTATTAGCTTTCATGAGACTAGGACTTTCTGGGGTAGGGCTTGTGAGCAGGAATTGGGGGAACTTAGAGGCTAGCATTGCCCTTGACAAGTTAACGGGCACTGCAGCCACATGTTAATGAAGGGCCACAAGTTCTTTTTGCCAGGTACAAGGAGAATGACTCCTTAGCCAGCTGGAACTTTCTTCAAACTCCTAAGGGAATGGGGCCTTTATCTAAATGCCTAACCTTGGGAAAAGGACTTTATAGCTTTATCTCTATTAAGTCTGAGGCTTCAAAATTAATAATTTCTCAATTGAAGCTCCTTTTAGCATCAAAATAAAACTTAACTCATAGACACAGTCCCCAGAGAGACTGAGAAATTTCCTAATCCTTTTACAGTACACCATTACAGAAATTAGCAGTTTCTTATATGACTCAGTTTATCAAAATAGCTTAAGCTTAACAAAGTTAGCAAAGATAGGGAGGCTAGACAGACAATCCTAAGCCTGAGTAGACCTTAGATAAGGAGGCATTCTCTAAGCCAGTGTTTCTCAACCTTCCCAGGGCTCTGATCCCTCAGTACAGCTCTCCATGTTGTGGTGACCCTTCCACCAACCACAGAAGCATTCCTGTTGCTATTTCACAACTGCAGTTTTGCCATTGTTATGATCTCAGTGCAAACGTCTGACATGCAGGTGGTCCTAGGCTACCCCTATAAAAAGTCTTTCAGCCCCCAGAGGGTCGGGACTCATAGGCTGAGAAGCTGCTCTGAGCCCTTTGCCAAGTCTGCTTAGGTCATTGTCCTGCTGCATCATAAGACAGGGATATACATCCCAGTTTCTGGGTGTTAGTATTTGGTGTTTGTTGGAGGAGGTTGCTTGTTTGTTCCTGGCTGCTTAGACCTGGAATAACCACACAGAAACTGTATTAATTAAATCACTGCTTGGCCCATTAGCTCTAGCTTCTTATTAGCTAACTCTTACATCTTAATTTAACCAATTTCTATTAACCTGTGTATCACCACGTGGCTGTGGCTTACCAGGTAAAGTTCTGTCCGGCTCTAGCAGGGCTACATGGCTTCTTTCTGACTCTGCCTCCTTTCTCCCAGCATTCAGTTTAGTTTTCCCCACCTACCTAAGTTCTGCCCTGCTATAGGTCCAAAGCAGTTTCTTTATTAATTAACCAATTGTATTCACAGAATACAGAGGGGAATCCCACATAGGTGCTCATTGCTGTAGCCTGAAGTTTTAGCTTTTTACTTATTTTTAAGTTCAAATTTTCATAATATAAAATATTCTATAAACTTAAAATGCCCCGTAGCCTTGTAAATTTAAATATTTTAAAAACCGTTCTTTAAAAAAAAATCCAGTTTTTTAAAATTTAAATTCTCTGTAAAAGTCTAAAATTTCCTCTTAACAAAAGTTAAAAATCTCTCAAATGTGCTCCTGCAATATCAAAAATAATGTACCCTTTTTCTTTACTTCAAGAGGGAGAAAACGTCCCAACCACAATCTGCACAGGGCAAAACAACGCCCCAATAGCACAAACAATCCAAAGCTCAATATCTGGGATCATTCACCTTTTGATCTCTTGAGAGGCTTGGGTCACCTCTTTGGCCCCACCCTCGGCAGCATATACACAGCCTGCCTTCTAGATCTGAGCCTGCTCCATTTCACTGTGGCTGGTGTTTCTGGTGACTGTCACATGGCATCTGCATTTCCAAAACTGCTAAGGTCCACCATTGCGACTGGGCCCCTCTTCAGGAACTCTAGCCCCGCCACACATTTGCAAACCTCAGCTGTTCCCCATGATCCCTTCGGTCTTTAAAACCATTGTCACCTGGTGACTCTTAAATTACAAGGTTAAACCTTCAGCACAAGCATGGGGGTGCAGCTTCAATGCCTTATTGGACAAGCATTGGTTTTAAATCTTATCTTTTATAAACCTTGATTTCAGAACAGGACAGGGATTATCACACAAAATCCACCCCCATTAGGCCGGGTGCTGGTGGTGGCGCACGCCTTTAATCCCAGCACTCGGGAGGCAGAGGCAGGCGGATCTCTGTGAGTTCGAGGCCAGCCTGGTCTACCAAGAGCTAGTTCCCGGTCAGGCTCCAAAGCCACAGAGAAACCCTGTCTTGAAAAGCAAACAATAGCAACAAAAATCCACCCCAGTCCAAAATATCTTGGAAAGCTGCTGGTGCCTTCTTGGTAGGTCCCCTCCATATGGTCACCTTTAATCACAACGGTGGGGAAATCTCAGGACGTCTGTCTTCTCTCACCCTAGAAAGATGGCTGCCAGCTATGTGCCTGCCCAAAGATGGTAGGTCACATGACATTCACCTTCTACAACCCTGGCAGAGTTGCCAACCCTCTGTGTGGTTTCCTAAAGATGGTGGCCTGCCGCCTGGTTCCTTTAAAATTACCCACGCATAGGTTTTTAATTATCAACTCCCAGTGTTACTAGTTTTAACTGTTTTCCTCAGATTTTACAGATTTTTAACCATATCCAACAAAATAAACTTATAAATCTTTTTTTTTCCTTTCCTTTTTTCAAGATAGTGTTTCTCTGTAGCTTTGGAGCCTGTCCTGGAACTCTCTCTGTAGATCAGGCTGGCCTCTAACTCAGAGATCCACCTGCCTCTGCTTCCTGAATGCTGGGATTAAAGATGTGCACCACCACCACCCGGCTAAAATAAACTTATAAATATTAAGGTACAGAATGTTCACATAAACCGAATATAATTTTTTCTTCCCCCTGCCACTGTGTCAGGGGCTCGAGCTGACAGAAAAACAGAGGGGAAACGGTTCAATAAGCTTGCCTGGGTCTAGCAAAGGGAAGTCCATAATCCAACTCCAGGGTCAGCTTTCCAATAAAGACCAGCATAAAACAAATTTCATGTTACCTACACCAAAAAGACATCTCAACTTCTAACCCAAATCCAGCGACCAGAGAGCTCAGAGATAAATTCTGAGCCCCGGCCATAAACGCAGCCATGTGGTCACTGGCAGCTGACACACAGAAACAGCAAAAATATCTGACCCGTTTCATCCCAGCTGCATGCTTGCAACACTAGAAAACATAGACAAAACTTTCCAACAAAACAGGGAGACACAACTCTGAAGAGAAATAGACAACATTTTCATGGACACACCAGGAAACACACTTTCCAACAAAACAAACATACATAACACTCTTGAGAAATAGACAAAACTTTCCACCCAGAACTAGAACCAGATGGGTGGGTGACATCTCGCTAAATGCCCTGGACAGGAGAATACTGGGGTCCCGCAGAACCCCCTCCACATCCCTGGTAGGCATCTCACAGAACAGAACCAGACTATCACTCTAGATGCTTGCTGAATTTCTCAGCGAGGCCGCTCACTCCGATAGTCCACAAAATGAACAAACTGGGACAACCTCAAGGCACACGCTTCCTGAAGTGGCCCCTCGACCCTGGAGTTCCAGAGCGAAGGTGCAGTTTCTGAATTTGGGTTGGTGGTCTGAGTATCGTTGGGGACCTCCAGAAAATGTTAACCCCACCGATCGAGAATAAGGCCACTACCACAGTTTAAAGTCAAATTTGAAGCAAGCTTTAGTTAAATACTGACCAGGTGGATGGAATCTGGCCAGGTCCATACCCAGGTTCCTGGGAAATGCCTAGAATCACAGTTTACAGTGGCTTAAGAAGGAAAACCCATAATTCATTGTGTTTCCCATGAGGTCCAATCAGGGGCAAGCAAACATCCTGAGCTTGTGATCTTCCCGCCCATGTGGTCAAACACATCTGGTGAAGATGGCTCAAACAAACTTGTTTAGGGGAGTGAAACATGCGGCTTGTTATCTCCCATAAACAACAGCTCCATGCAGCCTTTCAGGAACTCTCTGTCCTTGGGCAAGGGGCTTGCAGATCAGAGGCATTTTTGCTTCATGAATCTCTTAGGCAGAGTAATTAAAACTTAAAATGTAACTTTGGTTCTCACACTGCCTATTTTGCTTAACTTTGTTTTGTTTATAAAATGAAGACTTGTGTTTAATTCTGTGAATGTATCTGTGCGTGCCCATGAGTGCACGCCTGGGAGTCACCTGATGTCAGTGCTGGGAACTGAACTCCGAAAGAGCAGTCAGGGCTCTTAACTACAGAGCCATCTCCCCAGCCCTTGCTGGTTACTTTTAAGTGCCGATTTAAAACAACTTAGAGTCACCTGGGAAGAGAATCTTTTTTTAAAGATTTATTTAATGTTTTATGTATACAGTGTTCTACCTGCATGTCTGCCTGTATATCAGAAGAGGGCACCAGATCTCATTACAGATGGTTGTGAGCCACGATGTGGTTGTGGGAATTGAACTCAAGACCTCTGGAAGAGCAACCAGTGCTCTTAACCACTGAGCCACCTCTCCCGCCCCTGGGAAGAGAATCTTAATGAGGTATTATCTAGATCATTTTGGCCTATGAACATGTCTGTGTTTTGTTTTGTTAATTGATGTAAGAAGATTGTCCTAATTAGGGTTATCGTTGCTGTGATGAAACACCACAACTAAAAGCAACTCGAGGAGGAAAGGGGTTGATTTCACTCACAGTTCCGTGTGACAGTTGATCATCCAAAAGAGTGAGGGCAGAACCTGGAGGCAGGAGCTGATGCAGAGGCCACGATGGGGTGCCGCTTGCTGGCTTGCTCCTCACAACTTGCTCAGCTTGCTTCTTAAAGAACCCAGGACCACCAGCCTAGGAACGGCACCACCCACAATGAACTGGGCCCTCCTCCATCAATCACTAATTAAGAAATGCCCTACAGGCTTGCCTACAACCTGACCTTAGGGAGGCGTTTTCTCCCTTGAGGTCTCCTTCTCCCAGATGACTCTAGTTTGTGTCAAATGGGCACAAAGACCCAGCCCATTGTGGGTGGCACCATTCCCTATGTAGGCAATCCTGAACAGTGTAAGAGGGGAGAAAACTAGTTGAGAGCAAGCAAGCAAAGATGAAAATGTTCTTGACTGTGGCTGTGACTTGTCCCTTGAGTTCCTACCTTGACATTCCCAAAGCGAGGGAACTGTAAGCCAAATTAGCCATTCCTTCTCACTACGTTGCTTCCCCCCGCCCCAGGATATTTTTGTCACAGTAAAAGAAAAGAAACCAGGACACTGCCCCCTACTCCAGAGGGCTCTCCTTCCCTTCTTCCTCTATAACCACCTACTGCGTGAGCAGCCTTTCTCCAAAGGGAGCCCACATGCGGCTCTTCTGGCCCTAAGTGCCGTCAAACTCATTTCCCCACAGCGGCATGCGCATACACGAACAGATCCTAGAAAGAGGGGTGGTGAGGAGGGTGGAGTGTGACCCCACCTGAAGTGGGAGTTACCTTGGCTTCTTTGGGAACACACAGACTTAGTGAGGACAGTCCCATAAAGAGGCACACACAGGACCATGGTACTTGGTTTGCCAGCTGTCCGGAGGCTTGCTGCTATCCAAGCCTCCCTGCTTTCCCTCTCCCTCCTCATTCTCTCCTCTCTTTTTAAAATAATCCTGGCTGCATACTTTCTCTAAACCAAACCATCTGTTTACTAGATTTTATAAGCAATAATAAAGGCAGTGAGGGCCCAAGAGCCACCAGGGTGTAGACACTTCTTCTGCCTCTGCAGACAGCCCTTGCATGTATCTAGTGTCACAGGACAGGCCTGGAGGCGGCACACCAGCGGACTGTCCTTCGGAGGGGCTTGGCAGGACTTCGTCTGCTTCTCTGCTGCTACCTTTCCTCCCAGCAACACCAGGGGACCTTTGGGTCACCTGCCTGTGGCAAATCGCCTGCTACATCAGGAGGAGCTGGTGTGGAATGGCTGGGAAATGAGGCGGCTGCAAGCCCGGCTGAGCAGATGCCAGGAGATCACTCGGAGGGAATGTTCTGAGCCCAGAGCACGGGCGGACCCAGGAAAACAATCCGACAACAATACCGAGTGCCTAGGTGACAGAGGAGAAACGAGGCATCTGTTTGGGAACAGATCTCCGCCTTCACTTCCAAGGCCTTCGTAATCCAAGCGGCAGTGAGCGGAACATTTACTTGGGAAACTATGAAAAGCCATAGAACAATGTTCTCCGCAAAGCATCAGCCTGCTGGGTTCCGAGTGCCGTCTGCCATCTAATCATAACCAGAGGCTCGCAGGGCCATCTGGCAGGCAGGCGTTAGCCCCGGCCGGTGACTGGGCTCAACCCCACCGTGTGTGCAGAGCCCTCCATCCTCAGATCCCTGGGTCCGACCACTGGGCCCTGGAAGTCGCTGGTACAGTGTTCCTCTCACACCGGGAGGAAACTGGCGAGGTGTTGCCAGCAGTTTCAGAGGCTGCCCACAGAGAGGTCAGCCAGCAGACGAAAACTCCAGCTCAGTCAGACCTTGCTATAGGATTTATATATTATTATTATTATTGTTATTATTATTATTGTTGTTGTTATTGTGTGTGTGTGTGTGTGTAGGCCAGCGGTTGACACTCAGTGTCTTCCTCAATCACTATTACATTTTAAGTTGTATTTTAATGTGTATGTATGTGTGCTTGTGTCTCAGGCGGAGGAAAAGGGAATGAAGTGAGAGGCCATGTGCCCAAACATTCTGATTTTCCCGGGTCGCAGATCTCGAGCTGTGGTAAAACCCTCAATGTTCCAAGCAAAGAGGCATGAGCTGACCATTGTCATGGGAGGAATGTTCGTAGAGAGGGAACAACTCCAGGATTCACGGTCAGCATTCCGTGTCCCAAGAAAAACCAGGAAGTCTCTCTGGGATTTATCTACATGAGACAGAGGAGGGGAGATGTGGTGTGTGGTGTATTTGTGTGTGTGTGTGTGTGTGTTAGGAGTTAGCCATCCAGGCAGCTGACGGGTCAGGACTAGGGCACAGGGTTCCGGTGTGGGTAGCAGCCACCAAGAGTCCCCGAGAACAACCTCCTCTAGTCTGCCAGGTGGGAGATGGGCGATTTTGGTTGACCGCCTTGTAAAGGAATTTTTGGTGAAAAGTCTCAAGTTGGGTACTGCTGCCCCAGTAGCAAGTGGAACCCATACCAACACATTCGACGGCCAGGCTGGCTATGTGGTTGCCATCGGCCCTAAACTCCAGCCAGCTCTAGCCGCGGGTACCTGGACTTTAATGTCGTGGCTTATTTGGAAGAAGATTAAAGTGGATTTGAGGAAAGGCAGACGTCTGAGCTTCCCGTGGGGAAGCTGCTTCTGCGGGGTGGCCCCGCCTGGTTTGTCTGTCCGCATATGAAGGTGCCACTGTAGACTCCTTGCTGTCAGGCCGTCTACTTTGATCTACTGTACTCACGGAAATGCGCCAGATGCCAAGGCTGGAGGTTGGGCGACTCTGTTTATACGAAGTGTCTGGAGCAGGCAAATTCCGAGATGGAGCAGATTAGCAGCTGCGGGCATCTGGGGAGCGACTGTCAGTGCCAGGGGCTCCTTTCTTGTATGATAAAAATGTCCTGGACTTCGGTAATGGTTATGGCCAAGGCTATGACTGTACTGAAACCCACTGAGTTGTACCCTTGACAGTGGCAACTAAACACAATTTACATTTCTGTGTGTGTCTGTGTTCAGGAACCTGTGTGCCTGTGAGGGTCAGAGGACAACATGAGAGAACCCGTTCTCTCCTTCCACCATAAGGGTTCCAGGGCTCGAGCTCAGATCATCAGGCTTGGTGGCAAGCACCTTTACCAGCTGAGCCACCTCTCTGTCCCTCTTTATGTTTTTTGATTTATCACTTACATAAGCAATACTATCATGAGTATCTTAGCATACATAGTTTTTTGGACTTTTTTTTTAAAAAAAGTTTTTGTATTGTTTGAGGCAGGGTTGAACCTTCTCATGGATCCTAAAGTGATTTTTATGGCATATAAATTATAATTTAGTTACAGTGTTTACCATTAGGGTGTCAGTTCTCAGATTGGTCTAAGATTATGAAATGGCAATCAAAATTCCAGGAGCGTTTTCCTTCGTCTCTCCTTCCCTCCCTTTTCCCCTCCCTTCCTCCTTCTCTCCCTTCCTCCCCGGGGCACCATGAACCATAAGGTCATAGGCAGGAACCAACTGGTCTCATACAATGCTCTGGAGTGCCCAGGCAGGCTGCTTGGTTTGTCAGGTGTATACGGTGCACTTTGATTTATGTTTAAGGTGGCATAATTCCCTTCAGGGCAAGGAACGTTTGTATCTGTCTGCAAAACAAAAGGCCTTAGGTTCATACCCTGTACCATATAAGAACATTAATTAAAAACAGATCTAGGGGGCTAAAGAGATGGTTCAGGGATTAAGAACACTGGTTACTTTTTTCAGAGGACCCTGTTTGGTTCCCAGAACCCACGGGGCAGTACAGAGCCACCTCTAACTCCAGTGCCAGGGGATCTGCTACCTTCTTCTGGCCTCTGTGGGCATCAGGTATGGACGTGGTACACACACATACATGCAGGCGCTCACACATACACATAAGTTAAAAACCAACGCATCTTTACAGTGGCCTCAATCTCCACTGTAAAAACTTTGATTTAAGTTCAAAGAGATCTCCAAATACAGTTACCTCCTGAGATCCTGGAGGGTTGGGCTTCAATAGAGGGCTTTGTCAATCCACAACAACAGGGTGTAACTGAGTTTGTAGAAACTTCTAGAAAGCTCAAAACATATCTCCAGGAATAGAAAGCAGATTATGGTTGCCTGGAACCAGGGGAGCAGACAGGGTGGGGGAAGGTACCTCAGCAGACACAAAGACATTTGGAGTGACCAATGTGTGTCTTATTGTGATAACAGGCCTGTATATGGGTGTGTGTATGTGTCAAGAGTTCTCTGCTTTACGTCTTAAACACGTGCTATTTCCTGCTTGTCAATCACATGCTTGTTGCATCCAAATCAAGGTCTTCAGAGGCACAAATCGGAGTTCAGTACTGGATACAGTCTCTTCAAAAAGTCCTGGGCTTGGCCAGCATTCAGTTCTGCTCTGTTCATAGCTGGCGCACTCCCTGTGCTTGAGGGAAATCTGGAGACGACCCTGTGCTTGCTTTCTCTCATCTCTGAAGGGTGGGGTGGTGTCACAGTGAAGAGGACAGGAAAATGATGAGATCCTGTAGGTCTTGACCTGTCAGAGAAGAGAGTTGTCACTGGCTGGGTGCAGAAGGGGAACCCATCGCTGGCTGGATGTAGAAGAGGAATCCGTTATTGGCTGGGTGCAGAAGAAGAAGTCAGGGAGGTTTGACTCAAGAGGAGGATTTGAGGTAATCTTGCTGCCTTGAGATGGGGGTGCTAAGGATGAAGGAACGAGAGATCTGTCAGTTGTTAAGGATGAACCTTGCTGACATCCAGCTGGGAAAGGGAGACCCCAGCCCTCCAGCTGCAAGAAGGTGGGTCTGTGCATATTAGAATAGAGGTGGATCCTTACACAGCTTCGCCCGACAGACCCCCTGCCTGGCTTGAGACCTGGCACAAACCCCCATTGAGCCCGCTCACCCTTCTGAACTGTCACACTGATAGTGACCCATGAAGCTGATACACGGGAGCTTGTATTAGTCAGGGTTCTCCAGAGGAACAGAACTGAGGACGAAAATGTTCTATTTGTAGGGGATTTATTAGGATGGCTTACAGGCTGTGGCCTGGCTAGTCCAGCCACGCTTGTCTCCTGGCAGAAAGGTAAAAAGCCCAGTAGTTGCTCAGTCCACAAGGCTGGGTGTCTCGTCTGGTCCTCAGAACATCCTGGGATCCTGAAGAAGTAGGTACTAATACTAGCAAAAGAATACCTCAGCAGCAGGACAGATGGACTTGCCAGCGGGAGTGAAGACAAGCAGGCAAAAAGCTTCCTTCCTCCACATCCTTCCATGTGGGCAGCAACCAGGGGTGTGGTCAAGACTTAGGGTGAGCTGTCTTACCCCAAATGATGCATTAATAAAGGTCCTCACAAGTGTGCCCAGCTGCTAGGGTTTAGTTGATTGCAGATGTGGTCTAGTTGACAGCCAAGATTGGTCCTTACAGTGTTGTCAAGATTTACTCGGAGACAAGATCTCAATATATAGTTCAGGTTGACCTCAGACCCTTTATCTTCCTGTCTCAGCCTTCTGAGTGCTGAGTGTCAATTTTTTATTTTAATTTTCAGTCCTGGGGACCAAACTCTGAACCTTGTACATGTTAAGCCAGGACTCTGCTAGGGCATCCATTTAAATGGCTGGGTCTGGTTGGCTTTATAGTCGCCAAAACTGATACCCTTTCTTGGAGCCAGACTCAATGGCTATCTCATGGGAAGTGATGGTACCCCGGAATTTTCCCCCAGCCCCTCTTTGGTGCCTTCAAAGCCTCTGCGTAGCAGGTCTGCTGCCTCCCAGCTAGAACTGACATTTTCCTAGGGCTGTTTAGATTCTTCCTGGAAAGGTCTAGTAATAATGTTATTTGTTCAATGTGACTGGCCAATGCTTAGGGCTCTGGAAGAGTGATGAGAGCCCCAACAGCCTGGCCGTTCCTCCGAAAGTTAAACAGAGCTAGCATCCCAGAATCACACTCCTAGGCATGCATCCAAGGGAAAGACAGCAGACACCTGAAGGAAACTGTACACAAGTGTTCATAGCAACACTGTTTCATACAATAGCCAGAAATGGTGACAACCTCCATGTCCAACAGCCAATGAAGTAACAAGCTAATGAATTCTATCTATACAGTGGACACTTACTGAGCTCTAAAGAGGAAGAGTGCGCACAGGCTATGGCAGGAGTGGAGAGAAGCCAGGCACCAGAGATACATACAGTCCTAGTCTCCTTTCCGACACCATGAGAAAGTACCGAGAGGGCCAGGTGTGGTGGCCACTGAAGATAACCAGAACGGAAACCGTAAAGTAAGATCGCATCACATAGAGTGTGAAGAGTGGGCGGATCCAAGGAGGATGAATTAGTGGTTTCTAGGATGCGTGGAAGGAGAACCAAAGCTGGGTAAAGTTGCAGAATTCCTCCTCGAGGTGATGAAGATGTTCTAAAATGGATGGTCCAAGGTCGCTTAGTTCTGTGCACAGGTACTCTTTGGGGTTTTGCCCCTGCAAACCCACTCAAGTGGAAAACATCGAAAGTAAAAAAGCCCCGACATAGAACACAGCTCAGCACCTGGGGAAAAGCAAGAATTCAAAGTTCAATGAGGTTTCTACCCAATGCAGATTTCTTTTACAACATCATAGACTTGAAAAATTCTAACTTGGACTATGGTAAGGTAGGTGACTGTTGATCCTTTAGTAGGGAGATTTTTATGGCATGTCAATTATTAACTTTTAAAAACGCAGGCTGCAATAGACGAAAACAGTGGGTGTGGACTGGAGACAGCTCACAGGGGCAAGCGCCTGCCACCAAGCCTGACGACCTGAGTTTGGTTCCCAGCATGGTAGGAGAAGAGAATCAACTCCTTTTTAATTTATTTTTTTTTATTTTATGTGCATTAGTTCTTTGCCATTGGGGTCGGGTCCCCTGGAACTGGAATTACAGACAGTTGTAAGCTGCCATGTGTGTGCTGGGAATTGAACCCAGGTCCTCTAGAAGAGTAGTCAGTACTCTTAACCACCAAACCATCTCTCCAGTCCCAAGACTTGACTCTTCCAAGCTGTCCCTGACTTGCGTGCATGGATGTGTATGCACACATACGATAAATAAATGTGAGTGTGGTGGACTTAGAATCTCAGGATGAAGGACAAGAGGATCCGGTGAGGACTAGAAGCTGTCCCTGAACCTCCACATGGTCTCCACATCTGTCCTCATCCAGTGTATACGCAGGAGGCTAACACTCTCAGAGTGGTGGGGTGCTGTGTTTCCTGATCATAACAGCTGTTCCCATCTTAACCAGAGTAGCTGGCTGACCCGTAAGAGACCTTCAAGAGCCTGTGGACTGTCCCTAACAAAGGGACAGGACAGTCATTAGACTGTTACCTGAATGCCAGCCCTTCCAGGCTGTGTATCATTCTGCCCCAGCTTCCACTTCTCTTCCGAGACGGTAGCACCGACGGGGTGGAAGGTACTGAAGGGGAGACGTCTATGCAGTTTCGGGGAAGCCGTCATCCATGTGCCGTGTGAGCTTCTGTTGGGGCTCTTCGAGTCATCCATGGTCTGTTAAGTACCTTCACTCATGGTCCTGGAAGTAGTCCAAAAACTCATTGCTTCACCAGTCTAGGCTTGAGTGAACGGAAGTGCATCAGGGATGCATGCAGAGCTCCCGGGGACGTCCTTAGACATCGCCCGGGTTATAAAAGGACCATCATATCCCCGTTTTGGCCTCTCAGGCACACTTCTTCTGAGCCCTGGGGAAGTTGGTGTTGGGGGGCAGAAGCCCCAGTCTTCCTCAAGTCTTCTGGGGACTGCTCTGTCCTCCTAAGTACTCTCGTTGCGGATGTACGGAGATGTGGCTCAACTCAGAAGCTCCCTGAGGTCTGTGCAGATGCAGCCTGGTGGGAAACCCATGGCCCTGTAGTGAGGTCTGGGTAGCCCCCTGTGACTGTGGGCAGTCCCTGGGAACCAGAGGGCGTTAGCTGCCTGACTTTCCTTCCGTCTCATCTTTCTTTAAGATGGACGCCTCCCCCTTTCTTGGACGGAATCTATATAATGTCTAAGTGGACTCCATCAGCTCCACATGGCTGAAAGCTGTGAGCTCTGAGGGACCACAGGAGGAACTAAGAGCCTTGTGCTTTCTGTGGTGGGGCTGGGGCCGTCCCTCCATCCCTCAGAGGGATGCCTGCTGGGTGCATTTAGTCTCACTCTCACCAGAGGGCGCCACAACCTTCCTTTATTGCTGTCCTGGCCTCTGAATTTCACAGGCTCAAGGGCTCTTCCTTGAGGTACACCTTCACTGGAGAGCCTCACGATCCCACTACCAGAAAGCCAACCACTAACCCGCACCAGCCCTACCACAGAGCCAAACGATCTTATCAGGGACGAATGGCTTTTCTTTGATAAGATGATCCAGTTTGGGTTTTCCAACAGCTTTGATACCAGTGTACTATGAACGGAACCCCCCTGGATTGCCACTTCAATCTATGGCTAAAGCCATCACACACACACACACACACACACACACACACACACACACACACACACACCATACAGCACGGGTCCCGTTACCCTGCGGTGCTGAAGAAACTCCCAGTGAGTCAGGCATGATGGCATATGCCTGGAATCCTAGCAGGCAGAGGCGGGAAGACCAGGAGTTCGAGGTTATTCTCAGCTACATAGCAAGTTTGAGGCCAGCCTGGGCTACATGAGACAAAAAAAAAAACACCAAAAATTAAAACAAAACAAAGTCGCCCCCTATAAATCATGACTCTTGGAGAAAGCTGCTGGGAACCACTTCCAATCAGGCTGCCGATATTGGGGCATCACCTCTCATGAAACAACACGAGATATATCTCTTCTTTGGTCACTGTTAGTGGTTAGTTAGGTAGGAGACAATGATTAAGGCCTTCAGTCCAACACAAATGGGGCTTACTCTGCCCAGGTACCGCGCAGAGGAGAGCTACCAGTGATGCAGTTCCTCCAAATGCGGCTAGAGCACCCACAGGTCTCCATGAATAAAGAAGGATGCCCAGAAGAGCATTTGGGAGAGCTAAGGGAGCTTGATGGGGTAACGGGAACCTGGGGAAGGAGAGGCAGAAAGGTGGAACCCTGTTCCTTCACCAGATGCGTGAGGGGTAGAGATGTCACACACACACACACACTTGTGTATGTTCGAGTGTGTGGGAAGTGTCAGTGTGTTCATGCATGGGTGTGTAATGCGTGAAACAATCCCACACCTGTTAGGATTTAAAGGGGTATTTATTTTGGGGGGGTAAAACTCACAAAGCACCAACTGTCAGGAAAGGAGCCTAGTCACCGGAACAGGAGCTGGAACTAAGCACCGGAACCAAGAGAGCAGGCTGGGGCTTGCCGCTCCTTTTTAAAGATAAATAGACCACGCCCCAATGGGCTGGTATCTTAGCAGCTATTGGCTGAAGGAGCGGAAGGTCCTCCCATAGCAGGTGTGTGCTACAGAGTGGAAGGTTTTGTGTGTGTGTGTGTGTTATTGCCAACTCTCTGGGAGGCCGCTGGCTTGGCTGTACCATCTTCACACATAGCAGATGATGCTACCAGGAAGAGACATCCACTTTTACGATCCCCAGGAGGGGATGGGTAGGTTCACGGGAGGCCTCATAATCTCCAATCACCTGCCCCTCTCACATGGACCCCTCCTGTTGGTCCTGAAAAGCCAGCTAAGCTTTGGCCACTCCACTGCCTCCTCCCCGCACAGTCCACCATCACCCCACAGGAGCGGCTGTCTCCCTCGCATTGACTCTTCTGTGTCCCCTTCATTCATGCTGCAGCAACGGAAGGACTGAATGGACGCTCTCGGCTTCCATGATGTGGCTACTCCCAGCCACTGTAAGGACAAGGCCTTACCCTGCCTTGTTCCCAGGGCCCGCTCAGCACCTGGCACTCAGGGGCACCAGCTGAATGAACTGTCTAGGCAGTGAGGGCGGGAAATGCTGTCACTAGAGGATCTGAAGCCCTCTCCCCAGCATGGCCAGCACTGGGGGACAGACATCTTCCGGCTCACTTCCCTACAGTTCGCAGTAGAAATAGCTCCCTCTTCCCATATCAGAAAACAGCTGTTCCACTGGCTCCCCCGGCATGTGCCAGCACTATAAATACCCCAGGCCTTGGCACAGGGATCGGGGGAACTTGGGAAGCCGGAGCACTGAGCTGTGTGGGCAGTGGGAGGGAGAAACATTGCCTAACTTCCCTCCCCTCGGCCTCCAGGCACAGGCTGGCTCTGCTTCCCACGGGCTAGGAAAGCCGGCAGTATTCCTAGGAATCTGGCAGGCAGATGACCAGCGGCCCTCCTGCCCTGGTGGTGGCTACCACACTGTCTAGGGCAGACCAGTCAGCTCCCACTGCCCGGGACAGTGGGAGCCAAGCCTCTGCTCCAGCTGGATTCTTGCAGGATGGGGAATGACCCAGGAGTGGCTGTCGCTCATATTTAAAAAGAATTCCTAGTCAAATGTGGCTGGTACTATAATCCCAACACTTGGGAGACTGAGGCAGGAGGATGGTCTCAAGATAGGGGTTGGGTTCCATACTGAGCTCTGACCAGCCAAGGCTACATAGGGAAACCCTGTCTCAAAAACCAAAACCAAACAGCATGAAAGCACAGAATCCTTCAGAAGGAGCCCAGGAGAGGTAAGAGCTGGGGGTAGCGACACAAACCCAGAATCCCAGGACTGGAGAGGTTGGGGCAGGAGGATTGGGAGTTTAAGGCCAAACTCAGACATGTAGTTCAAGGGCTAGCCTGGGCTATATAAAACCGATCAAACCTAAACAAACAACAATCATATCGTCTGCCCTATGACTCCTAGCATATTCTTTAGCCCCAAATGCCACACGCTACTTTGACAAGAGCGTGTAGAACTCTCCAGCGTGACTGAGTGGGAAAGAGGGACCTGGGAGGGGAGCAGGTGTGTGAGGCAGATGTATGGACAGCAGCGGGCTAATTGGAAAGCGGCTAGCCCACCTTCAGAGCCCATCTTCAGAGCATAGTCTGATTGCTTTTTTTTTTTAAATTGCTTTATTTTATTTTTTTTTAAGATTTATTTATCTACTATGTATACAGTATTCTGCTTGCACTTATGCCTGCAGGCCTGAAGAGGGCACCAGATTTCATAGATGGTTGTGAGCCACCATGTGGTTGCTGGGAATTGAACTCAGGACCTTTGGAAGAGCAGCCAGTGCTCTTAACCACTGAGCTATCTCTCCAGCCCCCGTGATTGCTTTTCTTAATCATTAAAAAGATGCATGTGTTTGTATGGGCGCTTTGCTTGCCTTGTGTCTGTGCACAAGTATGCAAGGGGCCCAGAGGCCAGAGGAGGGTGGGGCACAGCAGTTGTGAGCTGCTGGGTAGGCACTGGGAACCAAACTCTGGTCCTCTGCAAGAACAGCGTGGCCTCTTACATGTTGAGCATCCAGCCCCAGAAAGCGACTTTCCTTGTGCTTTCTGCCCACTTCCTCCCTCCCACTCCCTAGGCTGCTAGGTTTGCTTAGTGCTTTATCCTGGTGGGCTGCTTGGGTCAGCGCTTCCTCAAGGCCCACAGAAAACACAGCTGCATCCTTTGTCATCCCCACCCCATCCCCTCCCGCTCCCCCCCACCCCCGCCAGTCCCTGTGGGTGGGGCTCAGGGCAGCTGCCCTTCACCTTTCTCCTGATTTCAGGGCTTCAGGTGTCTGGCCCCTGTGTTGCCACATCTTCCTGTCGTCTCTTTCTGCCATCTTCTGCAGGACCGAGGCAGGAAGGGAAGAGCTTCAGCATCCACGTCGCCTTGCTACCCTCCACTTGTGGGCCGCCACCGGGCACAGACGTATCTCGGCCGGCTCTGCTCAGGCGATCTGCAGCTCCATGTTGGAACATCACTGGCTTGCTCTCTGCCTCAGGACCTTAGGGAGAATTAAAGGGGGAGTGACTATTCCTTAACATCTTGTTTTGTTTATACTTGCTGAAGGCAGGAAACCGGCAGTTAATTCTAAAGGCACAGCATGCCCCCTTTGACTTGCTGGTGTTCTGGGTGTTCCCCACACCCTATAGTGTTACACTTGGGGAGAGAAGGGCTGCAGGTGGCGGTCTTTGTGCACTAGGCTAGCAGGGGCTTTAGGTTCACATCATGGTCATACATGGTTGTTGTTCCGAATAGTGTAACCATAGTCAAGACAGAACCAGGCAAAAGAGGCTCCTCCAACCCATTTATTCATTTATTTATTTTAGGGGGAGCATGTGTGTAGAGGTCAGAGGTCAACATCTGTGTCCTCCTCAATTAACCTCCACCTTATTTTTTGTGTGTATGTGGTTGTGTGTGCACGTGTGTGGGGGTGCATGTTTACACGTGTGCACATGAGTATGGAAGCCAGAGTCAGGATCAGCTCCTCCTGAATCACTTGCTACCTTATTTTTTGAGCCAGGATCTCCCACTGAACTTGGAGCTCACGATTTGTCTAGAACGGCTGGGCAGCAACTCTACATAGCCTCCAGTTTCTGCCTCCCCAGTGCTGCAATTACAGGCACGTGGGGTTTTTGGTTCCGGGAGGCTAAACCAGTGTCTTATACTGGTGCGGCAAATGCTTTAGCAATTGGGTGTCTCTCTAGCCTCCCCCAGTCCATCTTTTCAGGAAGAAGAACCTTTGGTAGGACTCTGCCAGGTGGATTTGGCTTTCCCAGGCTCTCAGTGGGGATGGACAAGGGAGGAGGCAGAGCGATGATGTGCTTGGTTGCTGAGCAACAGGACCATGCCATCGGGCAACCACAGGAACCAGGTTGGAGATGCTCCCTGGACACTCTTCCCATCGTCATTACCACCCTCCTTGTCCTCCTTGCCCGCGGGATGCCCGTGGGACGCCCCGAACACAAGCAGGTGAGGCTCTGTATCCCTTTCCTCTCACACCTCTGTGCAGACATGTTCATGAGCGTCACTCTTGCCCTGGGTGTTGCTGTGGTGGGATTTCAGCCTTGGCCCCGGAAATCCAGATAGCACTGAGCAATCACGGGGTAGGGTGAGGCGTGCAAGATTAGGCATGCCATCAGGACTGGCTTTGAAACACCCGCTGAGTACTTAAGGTCTCTTTGGTGCCAGCTCCCATTTCATGGAAACTGAACTCTAGTTTCGGTTATTCTATGCCGACCTTCCTAGACAGATTTTTTTTTGGTAGTGACTGTTTTTGATTTTGAGCCACTCAGACTGGCTGCAAACTGACATCCTCCTGCCTCAGCCTTCTAAGTGCTAGAATTACATGTGTGAGCCCATGCACAGCTCTTCTGACTTCACGCTGGTTCTAACTAATTGATTAATGGATTAATTAGAGATACTGTCTTGCTAAGTAACCTCTGACAGAACTGGAACTTAGTAAGTAGCCCAGGTGGGTCTCAAACTTTTACCTCTCCTTCCTGCTTCAGCTTCCAGGAAGCTAAGGTGACAAGCGCGCCCAGCTCTTTCTCATATTGCCAATTAGTAGGTGGCTCTCCTTTCCCCGGGAGCAAAAGGAGAGAGGAAAGGTGGCTCAGTGGGTAGAGGCACTTGCCTTGCAAGCTTGACCTCCTGGACTTGACCCCAGGACCTGTGTACAGATGGGCGAGACCTAACGAGACCAAGTTGACCTCTGCCCTCCACGTGTGTAACTGTGCCCCCAACAATAACAAACAAGCCAACAAGTTAAAATAACATAAGAAGGAGAGAGGAAGGAGGGAGGCAGGAAGCTTAGCTTCCCAGCATGAGGCTGTGGTGCTCCACTCTGCTGTTCTTACGGTGAGCACAGCATGGACTTGCACACTGAACATGAGTCAGGCTCCCTCTGTGCCTCTTGGTTTACTTCGAAGCCAGAGACGGTAATAACAGCCTTCATCGTGATGGCGTTGCTGTGTTCTGAGCCAGTGAGATAGCACGGTTGGTAAAGGTGCTGTTGCCAAACCTGAACACCCTCGTTCAGTCTCCAGGATACACGTGGTAGAACTGACTCCTGCAAGGCGTCCTCTGACCTCCACGTGCACACTGTGGCTTGTGTGTGCCCACACATGTACACAAGCACATACACAGTCTCCTATAATAAATTTTAAAATGTCATTTAAAAGTTATTATATTTAGGCCAAACATTGTTTTTACTTTATTGCAGCTTTATAATTCCAATATTTAATATTTAAATATATGTAATATCAAATTCTTTATTTATAATAAAATAACTATTATTAATAAATTATGAAACGCATTAAAAATCCAACTTCTTGGGTTTTTTTGTTGTTGTTGTTGTTTTGCTTTACTTTAGGCTCACTGCCTCACAGCCACTCACTCTTAGGATGTGTTTGTTCCTTGCTAAAAAACTTAAAAAACAAGAAAGGAAGAAAGAAAGGAAGAGAAAAAAAGAAAGAAAGAAAGAAAGAAAGAAAGAAAGAAAAAGGAAGAAAGAAAACAACTCAGCTCATTGGGGGCTGGAGAGATGGCTCAGAGAGTAAGAGCACTGGCTGCTCTTCCAGAGGTCCCGAGTTCAATTCCCAGCAACCACATGGTGGCTCACAACCATCTGCAATGAGACCCGGTGCCTTCCTTGCCAGCAGTACATTGTATGCTTAATAAATAAGTAAATCTTAAAAAGAAAGAAAGAAAACAAGCCTGGCTTCTTAGAAATATATAAAACTTGCTACATCGAGACAATGGAATTATTATTCCTTGCTACAGCAAAGTCAGAGGTCCAGCCATGAAGAGATGAGGTGGAAGCCAGGTGTGATGGCACAGACCTCTGATCCCAGAACTTGAGAGGCAGAGGAAGGCAGATCTTTGTGATTTCAGAGTCAGCCTGGTCTACGTGGTGAGTTCTAGATCCGTCAAGGCTACATAGTGTGACCCTATCTTAAAAAGAGAGAGGAGGAGGAAAAGAAGACAGAAGACACGTGGTACTAGTGGCGGAAGCCAGTCTGGACAGGCTACCCACAGTCTAATCCCTACTCTGACTTTCTGGAAAAGACACACTGCGGAAACAGATTGGGAGTGGCCAGGGTTGGGATGGAGCCTCGGCTCGCGCAATTTATTGGTCATGAAAGCTTCCTTGTAGGTCATAATAAAAGCAGAAGTAAGTTATTCATGTATTGTGCAACTCTGACTGTGACCCCTAATGTGGCAGAGATTTCGGGTGATAACAGTGTGGCCATGTGGTTTCATAGGCAAGGGATGTCCCTGAGGGTGCAGGATGTTGATGGCCAGGAAGGCCATGTGCAGGGTGATTAATTGAAACCTCCACTGTCTGCTCCGCTTGTCTGTGACTCGGAAACTGCTCTAGGTGGCAGGCTCAGTTGGTGGCGAGCTGATGATCTGATGCCGTCACATGGCATCAACCCTGTGTGGTGGCACTGTAACGCTGGCACTTGGCACTCGGGAGGTCGAGGAAGGAGATCAGAAGTTCAGGATCACCCTCAGCTGTGTATGGAGTTGGAGGTCAGCCTGGGCTACATGAGACCCTCCCTCCCCTCAAAAAGTAAATCTGGCTTAAGTTTGCTCATACACAGATAAGTACAAGTGGAGACAGAGGGCTGGGCACATTTTCTTGGAAAAGTTCCCATTTGTCCCAAGGCCTGCCAGCAAACTTCCTCAGTGTTTGAAGGGGCCTGGGACAGCGGAGGAGGGACGGCATGGGTGTTCTTACTAGGACACCGTTTTCTTGACATCTTCCTCTGGGTATCCAGGCCTGTGGGCAGCCGAGGGCTCCCCTCTCCTCCCACTGGCAGAGGACAGGGTCAGGTCAGCAGCGCACACCAATCCTTAGACACAGGGAGTCTTATTTAGTCTAGAAACTCACAAAGGAAATATCTGCTTGCACGTGAAAAATCTCTGGAATGTCTCTGCAAGACCACCGTGAAGAGCCCGGTGCACAGCCCACAACCACAGCCACCCAGGCAACCTGGTGGCCCTACTGTGTCCCTCAGTCACCCTTGCTCTTCTGAGCCCCCAAGGGTGAGAGACTGAATGGGAAGAGGGAGGCAGAGGAGGGGGGAGCCTCTGAGGTTGGAAGAGAGACCTGGAGAAACGAGGGGAGACTTGGGACGCTGGGCAGGAGTCCTTCACCTCTTAGGACTCTAATTCAAGCCTGAGGGCTCTGCTCCCCCACCCCATCCTCCTCCCTTCCCCTTATCTTGTCTCCCTCCTCCCTTTCTTTCTTCCCTCTCTTTGTTCCAGTTAGACAAGGTCTTCTGTAACCCAGGGGGCAACCCTGCTCAAGTCCAGGGTGACCTTGAACTCCTTGAACCCCTGGTCCTCCTGCCTCCACTTTCTCAGTACTGGGGACATAGGCTGGTGCCACTGTGCACAACCTCCGCCTACCTTTAATTGTTCTCTCCTCCAAGTTTCCTTCTTTTTTTTTCCCCCAAGTTTTTAAAAAAAATGTACTTTAGTGTGTGTGCATGTGTGTTCGTGTGTGTGTATGTGTGTGTGTGTGTGTGTGTGTGTGTAGAGGTCAGAGGACAGACAACTTGCCGTTGTAGGTGGCAACCAAAGGATAGGTTGTGGGAATTCATTCTCCTCTTCTACTTTGTGGGTCCTGAAATTGAACTCGGACCTCCAGACCATTGGGGGCAGGGGCCTTCATCTGCAGAGCCATTTTGGGGTTCCCTTCCTTTCTCAAAACCTGCTTCTCCAGAGGCCATTGAGGTTATAGACCTGGGTTTACTTAGATAGGCATGCTGGGGTGCAGGGCACTGAGGGAGTGGATATGGCGTTCTCTCTGTGGTGACAATAGGGGCACTCTTCATTCAGCTTCCTGGCCCCTCTGTCCCAGCACTCTTTCTAGGGTCATCTAATCTCGCATAAGACCAGTTTCAGCAACAGAGGCAAGGCGATGCCCTTGTTTTTCTAATGGTCTTTCCTTTCCAGTCAGCATGCCGAGTAAAGCTGCCGGGACATGGAAAAGGGGACCTGACACTGGAAAAGAAGCTTGGGGCTCTAGGGCACCCACTGGAAAACAAGAAACATTCAAGCACCAGGTGTGAGGACTTTAAATAGAATACTGCCTACAGAGCGCTTGGAATAACAGCAGCCAGCTCTCTGAGGACCGGCCTCTCTCAGAGCCTAACATTTAACTTCCAGACAGTTCCAGGCAGTCTCAACAGCACATGGGTTTCCTGGGGCAAGCGCAGCCTCGTGGCCCATTCTGTCCACGCATCTCAAATTTCAAATTTCAAGTTTAAGAGTTGATTTCCTAAGGACTATGCTAAAACTCTCACATTCCACCACACACACACACACACAGACACAAACACACACACACACACAGAGACAGACAGACACACAACAACCACTGTTTTTCAAAACGTTGTCTTACTTGGGAATGTTATGACGTCAAACACTTAAAAATGTGGACAGTTTTGTTTCAAAAGACTTGATGGGGCAAATTTCAGAACTCTTGATTTTTTTTCTTTCAAAGTCTTTGCTTTGGGTTCGTTTCTGCAATCAGGCCTGGCAGTGGCTTAGCGGACGCGGCTAAGGTCACATAACGAAGGACTCATAGCTGCCGAGTCTGGCCCTGCAGCCATTCAGATCTGGAAATATTTTCCCTTCAAAAACAGAAATCAAGAGGTTACTTTGGGGTCACTCGAAACTCTCAAATGAAGACAGTTGGGTTTTCTTGGAAGAGCTCCTTGGCCCCTTCACGGGTCCAGGTTTTGGGTATCTGTGCTGCTTGAACCCGTGAGGTGGCAGCAAGGGACAAGAGCCTAGGGCTGGTGCAGTCGGGGGCTTCAGGTGACTAGCCGAGGGGACAGAAGAGACTCTCTGGGCAGGCTCTGGCTGCAGAGTGGCTGGCTCTTTTCCGGTGGATTCTGTGGGGGTGCAAGCTCCAGTAGGGCCGTGTGCATTGCCTTAGGGAAGAAGGCAGAGGGCAACAGCCATGAGGTTGAAGAGGGCGAAGGCACAGTTTTGCCTAGAATGTGCTAGAGCGCGGAACACATCCCCCAAATCATATACTGGAAACTTGATCTTCAATGCAGAAGTGTCGGAGGGCAGCAAACTCCCAAGTTTTGAGACAGGTTCTCGCGATGTAGCCCAGGCTGACCTTAAATGCACCATCCTCCTGCCTCAACCTCCTAAAGTCTGGGGTTACCGGAGTGTCTCACCACATACAGTTAGAGGGGGGCTTTTAAGAGTGTGTAGGTCACAAGTACCCCTCCATCACGGTGGATTAATGCTGTCACTGGGAGAATGGGTTCTTTTAAAAAGGAGTCCGAAGGAATCTGGGGCCAGGCATGGTGGCACACTTGGAAAACAAAGCCGGTAACTGCCAGTCAGGACCTACCGAGTGAGACCCTGTTCCCCAACCCCCAGAAAAGGCAAGTCTGGACCCTGTCTGTGCGTCTCTGTGACATTTTTATTTAGACAAAGTCTTGCGTATTCTGGGCTGCCTCAAACTTACTGTGTAGCCAACTGAATTTCTGGTCCTCTTGCCTTTGTACTGAGAGCTGGGAATACAGGCCCTGGCCCTGGGGTTCCATCCCAGGTTCCGAGCCCTTCAGGCAAGCGGGTACCAACTGGGCCACATCCCCAGCCCAATGGGTGTCCGTAAAAGGCACATTTCGAACCTTCGGAGCTTTTTGGTTTGTTCTTGTCTGAGGGGAACAGGCGGAAAAGACACTCTGGCCTGGGGACTTCTTTACCTTTGGAGGTGGCTTCCAAGACACTGAGTCACTCTCATGCCACCCATGCAGAGCTATCCTGGAAAAAAAAAAAACAAAACAAAACCAAAAGCACTAAAATAAACTTACCCTGCTTCCTGGCAATTCTGCAGCTCCTGAGGGGAGGGCCAGGAGCACAGCGTGGTAACACCAAAGAGGCACTGGTGGAAGGAAGCACAGCATGTGGGAAACTCGACTGTGATTTCATCGTGTGGAGGCTGCGTCAGGCCGGGGTCTGTTTCTCCAGGGAGCAGACCCCAGAAAACACGCAGGGGTGTGGCTAAACCAGCTGAGCCACAAGCTGGCTGCCCTAAGGCTAACACCCAAGGGTGGATTTGCGACCTGGCCGTGGTCTGCTGACCAATCTCCGCTCCTGAGCCCCAGCTGTGCTGGGAACTGACCTCATTCATGAAGTAAACACTGAATCAGATACCAGTGGGCCTAACCCCGGTGGAGTGGGGACAGCTCAGATCTTTTCACAATTACGAAGCGGCCCATTGCACTTGGCGTGAGCCCCTCGAAAGATGTCAGTCGGAATGAGTTCACGAGCATCTCTTGCCAGCTTCATCAGAAGCCAGTTGCCTTGCTGTGGCTGAAGTGATCTGTATTAAAATGTGCTTACATTCTAGTTCGGACACCTCGGATGTCGTCCTGGGAAGCAGTGCGGGTTAGCAACTGGAAGACGGTACTGGGAACCCACCAGCTGCCGCTGAGGCCTGGACACATCTGGAGCTGGTCTCCGGAGCCAGATGTTCCTGAGGGCAGGGGCTGTATATCGCAGGTCTGTCTCATGATGATGTGGTCCAGGCTGGGATTGGGGGCCTGGTGTCGGCGTGCCCTGCTTTTGGGTCATGGACACCGGGTGTAGGTGTACACTCTCCCCTTCGCTTAGTCAGAGGCTATGGGTACTCGTGCTTTCATTCCCTTGCTCATTCGTGTGGTTTGTCCAGGAGATGAGAGGCTGTGCTCTACTATATCTGGGCCACTTTGCAGGGCGCTTTCAGAACCTGGGAGAAAAATAATTTCTTTTGTTTTAAAGATTTATTTTTTTTTAAAAAAAATTGTATGCATGTGTAAGTTACCTCCGAGGCCAGAAGAGGCCACTGAGTCCCTTTGGGTCCAGAGCTATGAGTGGCTGTGAACTGCCCAGATGGGTGCTGGGAACCAAAGTTGGGTCCTCTGCAAGAGCAGTAGGAGCCCTTAACCACTGAGCTATCTCTCCAGCCCTGACAAACAATTCCTAATCATTCCTTCCTTAGCCTCATTTACATGTAGAACAGTAGGATGTAGTGCCTGCCACTTGGAGCCAGACTGCTTGAGTTCAAGTCCCAGCTCTACCTCTTACAAAGAGGATAGGTTTGGGAGGGTCACTCCCTTCCGTGCCTCAAGACTAAAGGGTTAATTCCGGGGCACAGCAGGAAATCAACAAGCATTAACAGCCTTGATCCCAGTCTGCTTGTCCTGGCTGAACCAAAACAAAACCAAAACAAAACAGCACCAACCGAGTAATTCATAAACGTTAGAAATCTACTTCTAGTTCTGCAGGTGGGGAATGGGAGGTCAGGCCTTCCTGCGGCTTCCCAGTGGGACAGCGGGCTGGAGGGAGAGGCCATCTTGCTCAGATCCTCCAGGCCTTCTCTACAGCATCTCACCTCCACACCCCATAGTGGCAGTCTGGTGACTCAGTCACCTCCAAAGGCCTAACAACTCTGCAGGGATTCAGTTCCACTTGGATTTTAGGAAGGACACCATCCCTCATGGCAGGGCAACCTTTGTTTTTGTCATTGCCACCAGCAAGCTAGAATAAATAAAAAGGAATTTCGGACGTCTTGTACTGTTACGTACACACGGTGACCAGCAGCACCAGGTATGTCCAGCCTTCGGACATTGCAACATGATGTTGACACCTGCAGCTGAGTCACAAAAACAAACAAGCAAGCAAAAAAAAAAATATCATAAAAAGAGCATGTTGGAGCAAGTTTACAATTGCTTTAGGTGGCACTTCTAGCTACCCTGGGCCACGTGTGGCCTCGGATTGGATAGTTCAGTGTGAGCCAATCGCTGCTCTCCAGGGATGGCGATAAGAATCCAAAAGACAGGGCTGGAGAGATGGCTTAGCAGTTCAGACTTGGTGGCTTTCCAGAGGACCCAGGTTCAGTTCCCAGCACCCACGTGGCAGCTCACAACTTTTGTAATTCCAGCTCTAGGGGAGCTGCCTCTCTCACTGGGCTTCTGTAGAAACCAAGGACACACGAAGTATGTGCAGACATATACATTTAGGCAAAACATTCATACACATAAAATGGAAATAAATAGTTAAAACAAGAAGCCATGAGGCCAGCGCGATGGTGCCCTTGTGTCTGTTAAATCAGGAACCTAATTTCCCCTTTAATTCTTGTGTGTTATATGGAGTGAAGGCTTCCTGTTCTTTCCTGCAAATAATTGTGTCTGGCCTCCATACTGAAGTAACTCAGGGTGTAAAACCATTTGGGGGTGACACCAGTGACAGAATGACAATAGTTTTGTCTCTTGGAGGGCTGTGGGAGCTATAATGTCAAGGCTTCTTGTGGTTTCCTCTCTCTCCCTGGGAAGAAGCCATTTGGCGGGGCTTCACTTTGTAGCCCAGGCTGGCCTTGGACTTACATAAACCTCCTGTTTCATTCTCCCAAGTGCTAACATACAAACACGAACCACCCCTCCCATTTCCCGCTTCCTTCTGCACCTTCCTCCCATCACCCTGACCCCCATCTGCCTGGAAGAGAGGAGGCTTTCTCATCCGTGATTCGAAAGGGGGAGGGTTAGGATGGACAAGCCTTGGCGGGGGAACTGAGCACCCCTGAGACTTCAGGGTGCTGTGAGGAACCACGAAGGCCAAAGGCAACAAGTTGGATTATTAGGATGTTTGTTTTTGAGGGCAGGATCTTATGGATCTCAGGCTGTCTTTGTCAGGTTTCTATTGTGGTGATGACCAAAGCAACTTGGGGAGGAAAAGGTTTATTTGTTCACATTTCCACACTGTAGTTCACCATTGAAGGAAGTCAGAGCAGGGACTCAACCAGAGCAGGGGAACCTGGAGGCAGGAGCTGGTGCAGAGGCCATGGAGAGGTATGCTTACTGGCCTCCTCCTCCTCCTCCTCCTCCTCCTCCTCCTCCTCCTCCTCCTCCTCCTCCTCCTCCTCCTGTTTTTGGGCGGGGAGGGCAGGGTTTCTCTGCTTAACAGCTCTGGTTTCCTGGAATTTGCTTTGTAGACCAGGCTGGTTTTGAACTTACAGGGATCCACCTGCCTCTGCCTTCCAAGTGCTGGGATTAAAGTCCTGCACCACCACAACCTGGTTCAGCCTGTTTTCTTATAGAACTCAGGAGCACAAGCCCAGGGATGGCCACACCCACAATGAGCTGGGCCCTTCCACAGCCTTCGCTAAGAAAATCCTCCAAGGCTCTCCCACAGCCTGATCTTGATGGAGGCACTTCTCTCAGGTGACTACAGCTTGTGTCAAATTGACATAAAACGAGCCAGCACATCCACACAGCTGAAGACAACCCTGGACGTCTGCTCCGCCCGCCTCCACCTCCCCAGCACTCCCATTTTACGCTGGGGATCCAACCCAGGGCTTACTGCATGCTGGATAAGCACTCTAGCAACTAAGCTACATCCTCACACAATTTAAAATTTTTAGATTTTAAAATCACAAATAAGACCAATGGAAGGTTGATGAGTTTAGGGTTGATTCTAAGGCAACAGCGGATGGTCAGGCACGTGGCTGGTTGGCCCACGGAAGGTGATGATAGGGTCAATGATGACACCCAAAGGATGCCTTTGATAGTTTTGTTAACAGAATGAACGCCATGAGCACCCATGCTGCTTATGGTTCCACTGCTTCTCACAGATTTTCCTGTGGACCAAAAACAGTGACAAAGCCTACTGAAGCTTGAGACACGTCTCCCTGGAAGGCGACACCATTTCACACAGCAAATAAGGCCTGAACGGGGAATCTGTGCCCAGGCCCGCCCCATGTCCAAGGTAAAGGCTCCTTATGTTGCTGGAACTCCAGAGCATGGTCATGCGGAATCCTATCAACAGATTGGGCGCTGTCAGTCCAAAGAATTCTCTAGTGGTGTGCCAAGAAATTCTGTCCTTGGCTTTAATCTCCTCAGCCTTCTATCAACAACTTGGATGGGACCAAAGATAGCTGCTTATCAACTGTGCTAACAGCCCCAGACTGGGAAGGGTGGCCAATCTGTTGGAATTGCAGTGTCGAGGTCCAAAATTATCTCAACAGGAAGGAATGCTCGGTTAATCCCAACGAGATAAAATTGAACGGGGAAGACAAGCAAGGCCCGGCATTTAGCTCTGAAACTTGACTAAACAAGTGTAGGAAGTGGCTGGAAAGGAGGCCAGTCTCACTGGTAATCAAAGAAATGCAAATGAGAGCAACCCTGAGACAATCGGTTCCCTCTCTCAGGTTGGCCAGAGTACAAGGAGGGGCATTCCTGGAGTAGCTGGGGGGGGGGGGGGGGCACGACTCCAGGCGATCTCGTAAATTGCCCATGGGCCTACACATCAGAACACCCTCTCTGGAAGGTAGTTAGGAAACTCAACAGCAGAAATCCTTCTTCCCAGAAGTCTCGTTTATAGAAACGCCTCTAAAGATAAGTCGGGAAGATTTATGTACCAAGATATTCCTCAAAAGCGCCGTTAAGAAAGAATAGTCTTTTGGAAGAGGGAGAGACGTGCGGGTTGGGAGCAGAAGACATGGAGGCCATGGAAGGGAACCACATGGCTACTGCCAAATGCTTCACTCCTTGAGGAAACAGACTCAGCATTCCTGTAGAGCACCCGTGTTGGAAGCCAAGCAAGCCTGGTGGGATGTAAGAGACATCTCTTTGGCTGAACACAAAGCACATTCCATCAGTTAATTCTGTCTGCAGTCACAATGATTGTCTTGGACACTTCTCTGTCAGGGGGACGGAGGGGACGACGAGAAACATTAATCATGAGTTTTTCTATCAAACACTATACAATTTGTGTTTCTGACCAGGAATTAAAATTTTGGCATATCACCAGGTGGCAGTGGTTCACACCTTTAATTCTCTTGTAGCTCATATTAACCCATTATTCTTATCTATGTTAGCCACTTGGCTCAGTACCTTTTTCAGAAGGGCATATCACATCCTGCTTCTTCAGTGGTCTGGGCAGGACTGGGGAGAGAGCTTCCTTCTTCCCAGGATACTCCTGTTCTCATTATCCTGCCTTTACTTCCTGTCTGGTTGTCCTGCCTGGCTATTGGCCAATCGGCGCTTATTTAAAATGTAATTGACAGAATACAGAATTCTCCCGCACTAGTATAAGTTTAGATCTGATATCCCAGCCTGTCAGGTTGTATCACATGCAATACACTCATATATACACACACTAATAAAAATCTAAAAACTTTAAAAATTAAAATAATATACTGAGAACTCAAGAACAATGGCAATGGGTTTTTGTTCCTACTGCACGAACTGGCTTTGTGGGAGCCTAGGTAGTTTGGATGCTCACTTTACTAGACCTGGATGGAGGTGGGTGGTCCTTGGACTTCCCACAGGGCAGGGAAACTTGATTGCTCTTTGGGCTAACAAGGGAGGGGGACTTGGTTGGGGGAGGGGAAGGGAAATGGGAGGCAGTGGCGGGGAAGAATCAGAAATCTTTAATAAATAAATAAAATAAAAAAAGAATTAAAAAAATTAAAATAATAATAAATCAGCAAAGCGCCTTCCTGAGTGGCCAGTGTTTGAGTGGAGCCCCATGGATGTTGGAGGGTGCGTTCCTTGCAGAGGTAGAAGCAAACCTGGCAAACGGCCAGCATGGCTGTAATTAGAAGAGCAAGGGGGAATCAAGAAGAGAGAGGCCCTTCAGTGTGCTTGGAGACTGGCCGTATAGGACATGGCTGGCTATGACAAAATTTTGACTTTTATTCTAAGCAAGATGGCACCTCTGGAAGGATTTACACTGAGATGGTACAGGATC